CTTTCTAAATGCCTTAAAAGAGCTTCACTTTTCAAAGTTAACAAAAATGTCTAAATAAATCTAGAGAAATCATCAATAATTACAAGAGCATAGTAATTTCCACAAAAACTGTTGATTTTAGATGGTCCAAATAAATCTAAGTGTAAAAGTTCTAGAGGCTTTGATGTGGAAATTATATTCTTAGTTTTGAAAGATGATTTTACTTGTTTACCTTTTTTACATACATCACATAATTTATCTTTTTCAAATTTTAACTTAGACAATCCAACAACTAAGTCTTTAAATATTAGTTTGTTTAATTGATGCATATTTATATGAGCCGCTCTCTTATGCCATAACCATGATTTTTATTCTTTAGCAACTAAGCATGTTATATGAACATTAGATGCACAATCCAAGTCAATCAAATAAATATTGTTATACCTAATACCTTTTAATGCAACTTCCTTAGAATCTTTAAAATGTATGGTACAAAAATTACTTTCAAAAACTACCTTAAGGCCTTTATTACAAAGTTGGTTTATACTCATAATATTGTGCTTTAATCCATCAACAAGGAGCACATCATTTTTCTCCAAAGTGTTTGTACCACCAATGTTTCCCGTACCAAGGATTTTACTTTTGTTGTTGTCTCCATATGTTACATATCCTTGTTCTTTCTTGATGAAACTTGTAAATTTCTTTTTATCCTCAGTCATGTGTCTTGAACAACCACTATCAAGATACCAGATAGGCTTTTTGGATTTAGTAGATACCTACAAAATAAGAACACAGGATCTTAGGTCCCCATAACTTTTGGGTCCTCGAGATTAGAGACAAACAAATCATTTAACTATAGACATCTAAATGTATTTTCCTTTAGGAACACCAAAATGCTTAATTCTACATTTATTTGAAGTATGACCATGTTTAATACAATAAAAACATGCATTTGGGATTTTAGTTTTTGAAAAAAGTTCAACTCTATTTTGATGAGGCTTAGTCCCTTTTACAACCTATACCCTATGGGTTCTTTTATTTTTAGGTTTTCTTAAAGGAACATGACTATTACCATTTGTTTCCACATACTTTTGATTTTCATTGTTTTTATAATCACACATATCTTTTGTAGCATTATCTAACATATGTTCAAGTATGCAAATATTAAATTCATAGCTTTTACAAGATGCACAAACAATTGGATCTTTTTCTTTAAAAGATGCAATTTTCGTTTTCAAGGATTCCACTTCTTTTTCTAATTTATTTAAACATTTTTTCAGGGTTTTATATTCAGATTTTAAGTCCTTAATAGTAGTAAACAACTCTTGATATGCATTATATGAGACATCATAATTATTTTCATCATCACTTGAAGAACAGTCAGAATCACTTACCTCACAGTCAGAAGAAATATTGTCATTTGCCATCAAGAAAAGATTGACTTCAACATCAGACTCACTTGACTCTGAACTAGAGTCACTTTCTTCCTAAGCTACATAGGCTTTATTTTTTAATAACTTTCTTCTTTTTGAGTCATCAATCTTTTTGTTACAGTTGGGACAATCGGATTTCAAATGACCTGTTTCACCACAACCATAACATTTAAAACTTAAAGAAGAACTTTCTTTTACCTCTCCCTTACCTTTGAAAGGTTGCTTGCCTTTTGCTTTCATGAATTTTGTAAACTTCTTAATCATAAGACTCAAGTTTTTATCTTCTTCATTTTCAGAATCTTCTTCCTCCTTCTTATTTTTGTTTTTAGAAACCTCAATTTTGAAGGCTAGATTTCTCTTTTGATGTTAGCTTTCTTCATCATTTAGTCTTCCTAATTTAAGTTTGTACTCTCTCAACTTTCTAAAGAGAGTCGTCATGGTCATAGATGCAAGATTTTGTGACTCCGTGATAACAATCACATTTGGTTGTCATTTCCTGTCTAAAGATTTCAAAATTTTAACATTTAACTCGTCAGTATCAAAATTCTTACCAAGTCCGGTGAGATGGTTTACAATATGAGTGAAACAATTTTGGACGTTAAAGATTATTTCTCCTTGTTGCATTCAGAACATCTCATATTCTTGTATCAATGAGTTCTTTCATGCTCTTTTAACATCATCAGTTCCTTCATGTGTTACTCTTAGTAGTTCCCACATCTCTTAAACACTTTTACAAATAGATATCTTGTAAAACTCATCAAGAGTCAAAACAGATGAAATAATGTTTCTAGCCCTAACATCATATTGAACTTTTCTGTTTTCTTCTGTAGTCCATCTAGAAAATGGTTTATGTTCCTCTACTTCATTTACAATAATTTTTGGAATAAGCGTACCATTTATAGCAGCTTCCTAAACAATCCTGTCAACAGACTCCAAAAATATTTGCATTCTCACTTTTCAAAATGGATAATTTTGTCCAGTAAAAAGTGGGAGTCTGTTAATAGAATCACCTTCAGCAAAGGTTTGGTTTTATTCAACCATTTTCGAAAATTTGAAAAACTATCAAATCAAGCTCTAATACCACTTATTGGTATTGCGCAGCAGAATGTTTGTGTGTAGGACAAAAACCAAGAGGGGGTGAATTGGTTTCTTATAAAAATTTTCCCTTTTTAAAATTTTCACAAGAATTTATCGATTAAACATCAACTGTAAAGTAAAGAGACAAGGGAAAGAAGATTACATAGTTGATTTATACTGATTTGGATCAAAAGACCCTACGTCTAGTTGTTAATCACTCTAAAAGATGATTAATGTTGTCACTATAATCACAGTTTTAAACAGATTACAAATTACAAAAGATAAAGATAAGAAAACACCTCTCTTGAGTCACATAAGAGATGGCCACCTTATTTGAATCCACAAAGGATGATGACAACTTTTCCTAGAGACAGCACAACACACAATCCACCAAAAAACCCACTCAGTGATTCTTATCGTTTCTAGCCCACACTAGGTTACAAAAGCCCTTTTTTCTTCCCTACTTAAAGTACTCTCAGCAATCACAACTATAAAATTTAGTATGAAAAATGTTCTACTTTACAGAGAGCAGAGAGTTCCTTAAATAGAGATTTTAGGGTTTAAAAATCAGGATCTTCGAAATTAGGTTTGAAATTTAAAATTCAAAATCATAACTGACACAAATAATCGATTATCATAAGTGATAATTGATTATTCTAGAGTCAAATTTGCAGAATACAAAATTTAGTCAGGATAATCGATTATCAACAATGATAATCGATTATTCCAGAGACTTTCAGAGACCCAGAAGAACTAAGATAATCGATTATCCACAGGTGATAATCGATTATCAGAGTGAGTTTTGAATAAAAATGATTTTTCAATGGACAGACTGTGTGCTGGCTATTTTGGACTCTATTTTTACAGACTCAGAATAATAAAACAAAGTTATTATAAGTAGATACAACTATATATGAGTTTTCTAATATTTGAAGTTCTTTGATCGTAAAACATCATCAAAATCTCCTGGCATCATATTCTTGGATATATATATATATATATATATATATATATTATGTTTATTTATTTGTTAGTAACTTTATTCGCATATATATATATATTTATTTATATTTATATTTATTTGTTAATAACTTTATTTGCAAATAAATAGTGTGAGAATGAATTTTTTTTCATAAGATTAAAGGATATTGAAAAAAAAAACATATACAACTATCTAAGATATATGCATCTTTGTCATATGCGCATGAGATATATTTTTTTAACATGCATGGAATTAGTTGTTTTAACTTAGTTAGATAAATAATTATTTTAGTTATTAAATTTATTCTGATAATAAATAAAACATGATTGCATTTTATTCAAACTTGATTTTATTTATAATGTGAGCTCTCTGCTGTTTATGTTTTGGTGAGAAAATATTCCCAAAACTAGACACTATTTATTTTCACTTTGAAGACATTCTCTAATAACTTAATATTTATTATAATTCACACTTTTCTCTCAATTTATGCACTTTTGTAAAGCTTCTCAAACTACTAATCAATGAATCTAACGTAAATGAACTATTTAATTAAAATCATATTTATATTAGTTATAATACAATATAATAATTATATGAATAGCAATTCTATGATAAAACTTAATTTCACCTAGAAAAATAATGGGATGAGTGGGTAAAAATATTATATTTTTTGAAATATATAAATATATTATAATTTAAATTTAAATTATTAATTATAATTAGTTATTTTAATACATAAATATAATTATTTATTTATTTATATAATACAAATATTAATTAATAAATACAAATTTTAAAAATATTTATATAATACAAATATTAATTAATAAATAAAAATTTTAAAAATATTTATATAATTCAAAATATATTTTTGATAATATATATATATATATATATATATATATATATATAAATTATTAATGAATTGATTTGTTAACCTATTCACATTAGAGTTTATAGGTGCATCTGGGGAAAACAAATATACTGTTATATTTTATAAAAAAAGGTGGAAATACTTTTTTTTAAAATATATTTTATTCTATATTATAAAAATGTCAACAGTAAATAAAGAAGTCTTAATATATATAATTAAGAAAATAAATATAACTTAATATGATTACTAGCAAAAAGATTTTCAATAAAATAAAACTCTAAAAACTTAGTGGTAATTTTTTTTTTTTCAAAAACAATCACTTTTATATATTTTATACTTTACTTTACTGCCTAATAATCCATTTAGTTAAATTTAAGAGGGGTGATACATTGATATTCCATATACTCTATCAACAACTCAAACTAATATAATAATAAATAATAATGTTACATTAAGATGTGTAATTAAAATAGAAGTTGTACACTTTTTTGAAAAGTGGGTGTGAAAATAAAATTTCTCAAATTTAATATAAAGAAAGTAGGGCGCGAAGAATTGACAACAACGTTGGCGAACCATGACACATGGTGGAGGGTTGAGGGTTTAGCAGCATATAATTAGGGTTTTACAGTGAATTCCGTTAAAGAAAAGTGTTACAATGTCCGAAGCAGAAGCAGGTTCCATGGCTTCTGTGGTTGCTTTTCTATCAAAAAGCTTCTATCAGGTGCCTCCGCCTGCGGTTCCAGCAATGCTGGATTGCATTCTGGTGTCTACCGGTTCGTCTCCGCCCTCGCTGTTCGCTTCACTAGTCCATGATTTCCCTCGAATTCTCAAGGTACCCCTAATTCTGCACTTGACGACCATTTCTCTCTCTCTCTCTCTCTCTCTCTCTCTCTCTCTCTCTCTTGTACTGTGGTGTTTACCTTTTGTTTTATTTGATGAATATAACAGGATATTATCAACGAAGGTGATAGTTTGGACGCTGATAAACGACTCCATTTCGTGTCGCTAGTCGGCGCGTTTTGCCATCTCCTGAAGAAAACGGGCGAGTTACCAATTTACCATTCGGTTTACTGCGTTTTTTATTTTTAGACCTTGAACATTCATATATATATATATATATATATATATATATATATATATATATATAAAATTGTGTATGACTTTATGATCTGTTTTTAGTATGGAAGTGGAAACTAGGATGCTATACTGAATGGAGCATTTACAGCTGTTACATTACCGTCATATTCTTCTATCTAATTTATTTTACAGGGACTGATTGTGACGCTGTAACATTGTTTATGCGGAGATGTTTTATTCCTTTAGCTACGATGCTTCAACCGATGCAGCATGACTTACTTAACCAGGTATTATTACAGAAGAAGCCAAACTATTGTGTTTTATTGGTAATTATGGAGAACTTTTAACTAATTTTGTTTTGCTTCTACTGTTGTTTCATGTGTGCATCATTTTGACGATAGATCACAGAATTATTCATGGATGTAGTAATTGAAACTTGCACGTGGGAAGTTCTTGGAGCAACTTTGGTGCCAATTTTGTTAAGATCAGTTGGTCTCTCCATGGGTATGCTTCATAACGATGATTTGGACTTTTATGAATGGAGTAGCGATTCATCTCACCAAGACTTGAATGATGTCATGATTGATCAATCGATGGACAAGGAGCTATTGCTGTCTATGCCAAATAGTTTTGAATTGTCAACATCATGTAATTTTCTATCTGTAATTCTGGAAGCTGCCCTTCAGTATATTATGACAGATACACCCCCTAAATCAGTGGAAAGAAAAGGGTGCATTTCGGATAAATTTGTTATAGTTTTGATATGGGAATTATGTAATTTGATTGAACGGATGCTTTTACATAGTCCAGAGCACAGGTCTTGTGCCGTAGGCCTGCTTCTTCCTATCATTGTCAAAGCATTACCTGCCAATTACTCATTTGAAATATCAATTCGTGAGCAGAAACATGGGTTTTCTAGGTACATTCAGATTTATTGATTAGTGTTCATCTGATTTATGTGCATTCTATCATCTGTTTATAAATGTATCTTGTATATTAATATTTTGCAGGGAGTATTTTTTCATCAAACTCTGGAGCTGCTGCAGAACACTGTTTTCAATTGGACCTTTAGAGAGAAGAGAGGCATATAATATACTATCTTTGTATTTCTCTTTTACCTGGTCCACAGAAGAATGTCAACATGATGGCAGTGATGCAATCATTAAAACTGAAGAATTTGACATAAGAGCAGAAAAAGATTTCTGGAATGAAATGAAGATAGGGCTGGTACTCAAGCACAGTTTCATGAATTTCTGCTGGTTTATTTAAGTTGTTATTTGCTTACTTAAGAAACAAACTGAATCTGGTCAGGTTGACAAGGAGAGTATAGTGCGGAAACAGAGTTTACATATATTGAAGATGGCTCTCAATATACAAGGAGGAACCAATTCCGTCACTAGTATTTCTAAAAGGAATGCAATTGAAAAGCATTCGATACCTCATGGTGTGACAAAGAGGGAAAAATGGGCCTACACGGAAGCCAAGTCCCTTGGTGTTGGGAACCTTCCGATGATAGATGACCTGATTATTAACAGCAAGCAGTATTGGGATGCATTTGTGCTTTTATATGAGATGCTTGAAGAATATGGTACTCATTTAGTTGAAGCAGCTTGGAATCATCAGGTGTATTATCACGTGCTTCACATTTTTTTATCATATTCTTTCTTTCTCGTTGAAATTTTAGAGACTAAGGGTAAAAGGGGGGGGGGTAATGTAATGAGAGAACAAACTCATAGTAGAATATGAAATTGATATATGGTGTGAAATGATGTAATAAAGCTAAATTGAATATCAAAATGAATTGTGAAGAATGGTAAAAATAGAGACCATCCAATATTCTACTTTAGACCATATTTTAGATTCAATACTAATCATATAATGTGTTACTTTGTGTTTTGTTAAGATTTCAACATGAAACCGATTCACATGTATATTAGTCTAATAGGTATTTAAACCATACCACATGATATGACGTAGACAATGTGGGACTTTCAACATGTCTTCTTCAATGAAGTCTGCCGGACTAGGCAAAGAGTAATTTTGACCCAAAATGAAAAGAGAATTCTTGGCCCAAGATAAGAATTGGAAATAAGTTAAGCTTTGACTTTTATATCATGTTAATATTTCAACATAAAATCAATTTACAATATGTGCAGTAGCGTAATAAGTATTTAAATTATACCACATGACATAAGGCAGGTGGTGTAAGACTTCCAACATGTTTATTTTATGAAATATCAACATTTCAATGTAAATTATGGTTTTGGATTGATCAAGATTGTGTGTGGGAGGGGTTGAAAGGTATTTTGAAAATATTTTGTTAGGAATCCTGATATTCCTAATAATATTGTAAATGTTGTTGAACCAAACAAGGCAAAACATTGGTTGGTTTATTCTAGGAGAAAGAAATCTGTTAATAAAAGTAGTTAGAAGTTATTAGTTGTTTCTGTTCAACTGTTTCTGTTTAACTGTTCATGATCAACTATTAATAAGAGATGATAGAAGTGCTTTGGGGGAGGATAAGTTTTAGGAGGGCTGTTTTTGTAAGTCTGGCAGAGAACCTTTCTCTGAGGAGCCTAGCTCTGGAACTTGCTTGTATTCTTGTATCTGTTCTGGAATTCAAGAAGATTTTCTTTCATTCTTTCTTCTTTATCTCGGCATTTTCCCTTAAAACCTATCATTGGTCCGACCTGCCGGATCTTGTAAGGAAAATTCATCCAGAATTTTTTCAATGACAAGACGGGGAGTACCTGAGACCGTGCGGGGCGAGGCGACAGAGGAAAGATTGAGTTCCTTGGAAGCAAAACTTGACGCTTTCATGGAGACGGTGGCAAGAAGATTTGAGGCGTTAGTGGAGTTGGTGCAGAATTCTGGTAGCAAGCATACAGGAAGGGAGAATGACTGCGGTGAGGACCGGGAAACATTGAACGAATTTCGTATGATGGCCAAGAAGGTAGAACTGCCTTCTTTCAATGGGATGGACCCTAGAGGATGAATTACTAGAGTTGAGACATATTTTGAGGTGCAAGGCATTTCAGAATTTAACAAGATTAGATTGGCAAGATTAAGCATGGAGGGGGGAACCATCCACTGGTTTCAAACGTGGTTGGATTCGGAGGACACTCCCAGTTGGGAATCATTCAAGAATGCTCTAAGAATACGTTTTGGAGGAGGACGCTTGGATGATCCGTTTGAGGAGTTGACTGATCTTAGGCATGAGGGTTCGGTGGAAGAGTATATTGAAATCTTTGAGTTTCTTGCTGCTCAAGTGGGTCGTTTACCAGAAAATCAGTTTGTAGGCTTCTTTATGAAGGGATTGAAGGATCAAATTCGATTGCGGGTGCGCACATGGCAGCCCAAGAACCGACTGGATGCCATTCACATGGCAAGGTGTGTGGAGGCCGAGATTTGTGGGACGGTTGTCATCAATGTTGCTAGAAGTAAATCTTGGAGTAATAATTTGAATCTCTCCCGTGGATTTAGAGGAAATATGGTGCATTCTTAGCAGGAAAACACTCAAACGCGTGGTGATGTGAGGTCTAAAGGAACAACCAACGGTGATAATTTTTCTGGGAGGAGATTTGAAGCTTCAGTAGGGTCTTCATCTGTGAACCAGTGGAGTTCCCAACCGTCTTACAGAGATAGGGGAGTTAGGCATCTTTCTAATAAGGAGGTTGAGGAAAGGAGAAATAAGGGGTTATGTTTTAGGTGTGGAGACAAATACCATCCCCTGCATGTGTGTGCTGACCGGCAGGACAGGCAGTTAAGGTTGGTGATTTTGGGTGCCGATGAAAGTTTCAATGATGAAGAGGAGATCACTAGGGGTGAAACTGATGATGTGGAGATTGAGGGGGAACAGTTGGACTGTAATTCTATGAATTTGTTGGGGCTGAATGGTGATTATCATGGTGAAATTCATGTCATGAGATTGGAAGGAAAATTGGGAGAAATTCCTATAATTGTACTAGTGGACAGCGGGGCCAGCCACAACTTTATTGCACCCAAAGTGGTCCAGGCTTTGGGCTTAATGGTAGAAGAGGCTGATGGTATTGGAGTAAAATTGGGGGATGGTCGTAGGGCTAAAACATGGGGTATTTGTCCTAAAATTCAATTAGATATGGGTACAATTCAAATACAAATTGATGCTCATGTTCTGGAGCTTGGAGGTTTGGATTTAATTTTGGGAATGGCATGGCTGAAAACCTTGGAAAAAATGGTTATTGATTGGAAAGACTTGTCCATGTCTTTCCAGGACAATGGACGTGTGGTGGAATTAAGAGGTATTGGCAGCAGTAGAGAGAAGTTGATTCCTTCATTCAATGAGCTTCTTGGTGATCAATTTTGTACTCGTAAAGGGGTTAAATTGGAAAAAGGGAGTGTTGAATACAACTATGGGAGATAGTGACTTGGAGCAACAACGAGCTTCAACAATTGCAGCAATTACCGCAACAGTATGCCATCATATTTGAGGAGTTGCAAGAATTACCACCTAAAAGAGAGGTTGAACACTCTATAACTCTTTACCCAGTGTACGGGCCCCGTTAGCGTGAGGCCATATCGATACCCCCATCATCATAAGGATGAAATTGAGAAACAGGTGAGTGAACTCTTGGAGGCAGGAGTTATTAGACGTAGCAACAGCTTCCTATTCCGAGTCCTGTCATTTTGGTTAAAAAGAAGGACTCTTCATGGAGAATGTGTGTGGATTATAGAGAGCTTAACAAGGTGACAGCTCCCGATAAGTTTCCTATCCTCGTTGTAGATGAATTATTGGATGAACCGCATGGGATGCGTTATTTTTCTAAGCCGGATTTACGTTCGTGGTATCACCAAATACGTGTGAAGGAGGAAGACATCGAGAAAACTGCTTTTAGGACACATGAAGGACATTATGAGTACTTGGTTATGTCTTTTGGGTTGATGAATGCCCTAGCTACATTTCAATCTATCATGAATGAGGTTTTTAGGCCTTTCCTTCGTCACTTCGTTTTGTTTTTTTTTGATGATATACTGGTTTATAGTGACAGCTGGTCTGCCCACATATCACACTTATATAAGGTGTTGGATATTCTCAAGAAGCATCAATTTGTTGCTAATAAAAAAAAATGTAGCTTTGGAAGAAGACAGGTTGAGTATTTGGGTCATGTTATTTCAGAAAAAGGGGTTACTATGGATCCTACCAAAATCAGCAGTATTTTAAGTTGGCCTATTCCAAAGAATGTTAAGGGAGTGAGAGGGTTTTTGGGGCTGACGGGATATTACAGAAAGTTTGTGTTGGATTATGGGAAGATGGCCAAGCCTCTTACTGAATTAACTAAGAAGGAAGCATTTGTATGGAATGAAAATGCTGAAATAGCGTTTCAGTGGTTGAAGGAAGCTATTACTACTGCTCCTATTTTACGTTTGCCTGATTTTTCACAAGAGTTTCAGATTGAATGTGATGTGTCGGGTAGTGGAATTGGGGCTGTTCTCATGCAGCATCATCATCCTATAGCTTTTTTTAGTAAGGCTCTCTCGGCTGGACAGTTGTCCAAATCTACCTATGAACGTGAGTTGATGGCTTTGGTGTTATCTATTCAACATTGGCGCCATTATTTGATTGGCAGGAAGTTCACTGTTTTTTCAGACCAAAGGAGTTTGAAGGAGTTATTACAGCAGAAGATTACTACATCAGCCCAGCAACATTGGTTGTCTAAATTGCTTGGGTATCAATTCTCTATTGTTTACAAATCTGGGCATGAAAACAAGGTTGCAGATGCCCTTTCTCGTGTTCATGGAGAAATGCAGTTGAATTCTATTATGTCTTATCCTTTATGGTTACAGGGTGAGGAATTAAAAAAAGAAATTCAGGAAGATGAATCTATTCAGCGAATAAAATCAGAACTTTTACAAGATCCTGCTAGACGGAAAGGGTTTGCTGTGCTAAATGGAATCTTACTTTATAAAGGGAGTATAGTTATACCAGCTAACTCTTCTTACATTTCCAAGTTATTGGAGGAGTTTCATGCTTCTCCTGAAGGAGGACATTCTGGGTTCTTAAAAACTTATAGACGGCTTGCTAGAAACGTTTATTGGGTGGGTATGAAGAAGAAAATTTTGGAGTATATACGTGGATGTGATGTGTGTCAACGTCAAAAGTATGCTGCTACTGCACCAGGGGGATTGTTGCAACCCCTTCTTATTCCTTCTCATATCTGGGAGGATATATCTCTAGATTTCATTACTGGGTTGCCCAAATCCAAAGGTTATGAAGCTATTTTGGTTGTTGTGGACATGTTATCTAAATATGGGCACTTCATACTCCTCAAGCATCCTTTCACCGCTAGGGCAGTAGCTGAAATTTTTGGTGAAGGAGGTGGTGCGTTTGCATGGCATTCCATCTTCTATTGTGAGTGATAGGGATCCTCTCTTTATTAGCAGTTTCTTGAAAGAACTTTTCAGATTACAGGGAACTAAACTCAACATGAGCTCTTCATACCATCCTGAAACAGATGGTCAAACGGAGGTTTTAAATAGGTGCCTTGAAAGCTATTTAAGATGTTTTACATCAGAACAACCTAGAAATTGGTCTTTGTGGGTTCATTGGGCTGAATTTTGGTACAACACGTCCTTCCCTACTGCTACTGCCTTTACTCCCTTTGAAATTGTTTATGGGAGACCACCCCCACGGATTATCAGATTTCTTCCAGGAGAGACTAAGGTACAAGTTGTTGCCCATGATCTTGCTGATAGAGATGAAGCTCTTG